AAAAACATCCAGTATGCGGCAGTCCTGTGGGCGAAAATGCCTTGTTGATGCTAGAGGTCAGAGGAGAATGGGCCGACTGATTCAAGCTGATAGAAGAGCAACTTTAACTGAAATAACCGCTCGTTACAACCGAGGTATGCAGCAAAGCATTTGTGAAGCCACAACACGCACAACCTTGAGGCGGATGGGCTACAACAGCAGAAGACCCCACCGGGTACCACTCATCTCCACTACAAATAGGAAAAAGAGGCTACAATTTGCAAGAGCTCACCAAAATTGGACAGTTGAAGACTGGAAAAATGTTGCCTGGTCTGATGAGTCTCGATTTCTGTTGAGACGTTCAGATGGTATAGTCAGAATTTGGCGTAAACAGAATGAGAACATGGATCCATCATGCCTTGTTACCACTGTGCAGGCTGGTGGTGGTGGTGTAATGGTGTGGGGGATGTTTTCTTAGCACACTTTAGGCCCCTTAGTGCCAATTGGGCATCGTTTAAATGCCACGGCCTACCTGAGCATTGTTTCTGACCATGTCCATCCCTTTATGGCCACCATGTACCCATCCTCTGATGGCTACTTCCAGCAGGATAATGCACCAAGTCACAAAGCTGGAATCATTTCAAATTGGTTTCTTGAACATGACAATGAGTTCACTGTACTAAAATGGCCCCCACACAGTCACCAGATCTCAACCCAATAGAGCATCTTTGGGATGTGGTGGAACGGGAGCTTCGTGCCCTGGATGTGCATCCCACAAATCTCCATCAACTGCAAGATGCTATCCTATCAATATGGGCCAACATTTCTAAAGAATGCTTTCAGCACCTTGTTGAATCAATGCCACATAGATTTAAGGCAGTTCTGAAGGCGAAAGGGGGTCAAACACAGTATTAGTATGGTGTTCCTAATAATCCTTTAGGTGAGTGTGTGTGCCCTTCCTTTTTTATTTTATTTTATTTGTTGTTTTCTTTTGAAGCCGGTGTGATGACGGGTGCTAAGATGGCGTCATCACTGCCTTAGTCATTACAAATTGTGGGCTTCTGTTTCTTTTTCATTTGTTATTTAAGGTTTTGTGTTTCTGTTGACTATGGTGCAGTCCCTTAGGTTCATTATTCTATAATACTCATTTATAATAAGTTTAAGATATGCTGTTGGAGTGGATTGCAGATAGGTGCACATATCAGTGGTCTTCACAACATGTTATGTCTGCTATAGTTTCTCTTTGATTTTCTCATTAACCACACAGACAAGTTTTTAGTAATGCATTTTTGTTATTTATTATTTCAAATTTGTATTTATTTCTACATTGCAAACAGTTACCCCACATGCTGTCTACTCACCATTTCCTGTTCCTGTGACTCCTCAAAGGAGGGGGCGGGTCCACAGCTTTCCTTTTTCTTGGGTCGGGTTAAACCATTTTTACTAATAGGGAACTTAACCCTTGGTAATGTAGGCATGGAGAAATGTCTTATGGTGTTTGCATTTAGTTTAAGTTGCTGAATGAGTTTATTTTATTGATTTTTTTGATTTTTGAAAGTTAATTGGATAATGGTCATATATTTAAGCTACAAAGGTTTTGTATTGATACCCCTGTAGTTGGTATGGTCTTGAGTGTAATGAGCCTGTTCTAGGCTATATAAGACAGTCTAAACTGAACCTTGGGAGAAAAAGGATGGGGTTATATTGCTGAACGTATCATGAAGATTTTTGCTGCCTGTAGCAATTTGTTTTCTTTGGTTATTGTTATATCAAAGTTTGCACTGAGTCCAGTGTATGTTTATTTTTGTAATTTATTTTTATTTTTTTTGGTTTAATTTTGGAATTGTTTCTGTGACACTTCACTGAGAGTTTGTACACCCCTACTACTCCACTGGCCTTTAATAAAAATCCTCTGTGGGATGATATCTGAGTCCTGAGCCTATCTACCACCTCCCCTTGATCTCTACGGGACACGTTATGACAGCCGGATGCAGGGTTCTCATCACTGATCTATATAGATCAGTGGTTCTTACATACCTGGAAGGAACACCTGGAAAATCAGGGAACTTCTGGAAAATTAATAAATTAATAAAATCTTGCATGGCATGGGAATTTCTATAGTCAGTATAATTTGTTTTAGTTATTCTCAATTCTTCTGCTCGAAATACTCTTTGTGAGTGCGTTTTCTCACATAGAAACACAAAAGTATTTGTAAGAATCATGGACAAATTATGTAAATTCATTTCAGGGTCCCCACACCTTCTGACTAATTAGCATATCCAGCCCCCACTGCAGCGTTTCAGTCCAGCGGGGAGGGTGTGGAGAGAGTTCCTCTAGCACTTCCCCTCTGCAGGGGCACTGCACCCTTCACTGCATCGGGCTCCACTCAATGACAAATTAACCCTCTTTAATTGTGGGTGAGTTATGCAGCTCCTGGTGCAGCGGTGTGAGGCACAATCTTGCAGCCTTTTATTGGGCTAATAAATCTGGGAGGGTGGCAGACGGGGCTGGTGCAGCCAGCCGGATGGTAGTTTGGGGTGGGTGAGAGATAAGAGACTGGAAACCCGCTCTCTCTCATTACCGCAGTTTTTGCCGGAGTTTTTCCTGTGTTTTGGGGGAATCTTGTCAGCCTGTTCACGCGTCACTCGTCCTCTTTTGTCATCTGAGCAGAGAACAGAAGCAAGATAGCCATTAATATCCTGAGCAATTATGCAGGATGAATTATGAACACGCTTAAAAGTGAAGAAACAGTGCGGTATTGTTTGTTATTCTAATGGCTGTACTTGTCGTGAGTGTGTGAGTGCTTTTTCCATTCAGGAGCTGTGTGGGTGGCACTGCCGGGGTCAGTGGTTTACTCTACTGTTGCATGATGGGCATGCAAAAGCATGCCAGGCATCCTGTGGGCAGAATACCATCCCCCCCGCTACCACGGATACGGCTCCGTACTGCGAGAGCACGTGAGGCGGAGGAAGCGAGTTGGATGTTTCCTAAGATGGCTGACAGGTGTAGATAAAGCCAAAGAGGGCGGGTGAACCACAGAAATCCATTTCCCAGCAAACCCTGTGATTTATGGCCCGTCAGGAGTAGTGTTCTCACCAACACCAACCGACCAGCGGAGAGCTGTCAGGACCGCTCCACTGCACCCGCACCCCCCAATCCATCCACCTCTACTAGCAACTTCTCACACAAACGCTATTGACTTCTTTTCAGTTTCTCGAACAGAGCTGAAAAATACTAGGGAAGTGCGAGACTAGTTGACTAAATGTTGCCGTGAGTTTCGACGTCGTACTAGTCGTTTACTTTTTTTTTGTGCACATTTATGTTTTACTTTATATTTCTATTAAGGCTATGTTCAAAGGGTTAGGGGACAATACCGGTATGGAATTTTAAACCTGTTTAAAGGGGAAACATTATAAATGAAACTTTCTTAACCGCAACATATCTATTCTATTCAACAGACTAGAATATGTAAGGAATAGTTGATGACAGGTAGTTGAATTATTAGAAAATAATGCACACCGAGGTGGTAATGACGCGAAGAGGAGTTGCTGTTACACCTCGGATGTGCATTATTTTCTAATAATTGAACCGACCAGAGTCAATCATTCCGCTTATACTATGGTTACCACACCTCAAGAGATTGTTCAGATGTTTTTGTCCTTAAAACGCTCTTGTTTAGGACTACCTCATCCCACGCCTCCGTTGCTAATTCTAAAACGTTATTTTAGAGCTAGTAATGGAGGTTTGAGTCATTTATAGCAGACTAATGCTGTTATTAGAGAGAGATTAAGTGTATGTGAATTACCTGAGTGTGAGAAATGTCATGTCACTTAAGTTGCTAAACTATTTTACTGATAAAATCGCCAGAGCAGCGCTGACAACACGTTTGTTTGTGAGTGTGTGTCTGTACTGTATGTGTGTACGAGTGGGAGAGAAAGCGGGAGAAAGAGAGTATGCTTTATGTACATAATAAAACTTAATTTTGTAGCAAAAAACATGGAAGTAATTTGATGTTTTTATCCTATTGTGTACTATATTTACTTGCTGGGTCAGTGTTGTTGTGGGTTTTTGATTCTTTTGTTGTTGTAGTCTGTAAGGACCTTTTGTAAATGAAATCATTTGGCGAAGTGATAGAGATATATTAATGCGGTCAAGACCTGCTTGGAACTACTTTAGCAGTGCGTTTCCCTGAAAAGAATTGCACACCCTAGAACGTTCGTCAACCAGATTCAAACATTCAACAGCCCTGTAGTATGAACTTAAATGTATCATTGCTGGTAAACATCAAGTTTAACATACAATGATCATAATCTCTTTCAGCGGCATTCAGTTTGGGAGTTGACTGATTCCTAGATTAAGTATGTTAATATGGATCGCTTATATAGACTGTCTTCTGGGGGTTTCTTAGACTAGTCCGTTACAAAATTTCCATTTAAATGTTTTGGCGATTAGGTGTGGCGTACATCCCTAAAACATACATAACCTCCGTCTCTGCCTTTGATGTCATCTACAGTCACAACGCTTCCTTCCACCCCCGTGCTATTGGAGTCACTTCTGAGAGCTGAATATTACACACCGGGCTTAAGATAATCACATACAGTCTGTATTGTAGCACAATTCACATTTTTCTTCTCCTTTTTTTTCAGTTGCTGATGAGATCAGGAGTCTCACAATGTAATTTCACCGTTTTATTCCGGTACCTGTGGCTATTGACTTTTGATTCAGGTGGGCTACCTGCTGCATTCATCTGGCGCTTGGATCGAATTTTATTATTACAACTGCAAAATTCCATTGTTTAGATATGGTTTTCAGCATCACAAAACAATGCCGTTTATTCGATGCAGTGGCGAGGCAGAATTACGCGGCGGAGCTTGAGGCGGCTGCGGCACCATGACTCAGAAGATTTATTTTAAACTGCTGTTTCTTCACTGCCTGTTATGATGGTGTTATCTGTTTCAGATAATGGGAAGTGCTTTACTGCAGGTCTAAAATCTGTCTGTTTTCGCTCTCTTTCCCCGCAGGACCTCGATGGGCCTCTTGGAATCTTGGTGTGTTTATTTGTATCCGCTGTGCTGGAATACACCGGAATCTCGGAGTGCATATATCACGTGTCAAATCAGTCAACTTGGACCAATGGACCCCCGAGCAGATACAAGTATGAATATTTTTGTGTAACACTGTGTTGGTTGTCTTTTCTTTCTTTGTAGGGCTGAACGATATGTTTCAGGCCTGGTGATGACCCACCTCTCAAACTTTTTTTTTTTTTTGAACAACTTCTCACATTCATTGATCAAATACACTACCATTCAAAAGTTTGGGGTCAATATGATTTTTGATGTTTTTCTTATGCTCACCAAGGCTGCATTTATTTGATCAATACAGTAAAAACAGTAATACTGTGAAATATAGTTACATTTAAAGTAGGGCTGTCAGTTAAACGCGTTATTAACGGCATTAACGCAAACCCATTTTAATGCGATTAATTTTTTTTTATCGTGAGATTAACGGTCTTTTTGGCCTAGCAAACTTTGTAGGTTTTTTTCCACATGCTTTTGCAACAGGACGCGGCATGCCCTATGAAACTCATTGATTTCAATGGCTTGTGCCGTGCGAGGACGTTTTGTTGCTTCGTTGACCAAAGCGCAAGAGCAGCGGCGCGCACGCCGCGGTCAATTTTTTTTGCCACTGTGCCGATTATCAGCGCGGCCAATAGAAACTTTTGGCATCCAAAAAGTTTTGAAACTGGTGTAGCGCCGCGCATTCCGCATCCTGTCTGAAAGCACCGGATCTAGCTAGACCGGAAACACACTTGTTGCGAGCCGGCCAAATAGTAGGTTAACGTTACGTTTTGAGTGGATGACGAGCACGAGACGCCGAAATGGATGCCAATAAGATTCTGAATTAAAAAAAGTTGCCAAATGGTTCCATTGACAAGACCAAAGTGATCTCTGTGTTTTGTCGTTGTGAACTGAGCTAGCACGTCCAGTCTGACACACCACTTGATGGCCAAGCACACACACACAGCTGATGCAAATTCTCCGCCCCCTCGTCAATATCAGGATCTCGTCAGTATTTCTTTAACCCTTTTTTTGATGGACAGTGTTACATTGTGTGAGAGATTATTTGCTCCAAGTGAGAATGTTTTAGTGTGAAATTGAACACAGTATATGCCAATGTTGTTTTCAATAAAAAACATTTGCACAAAGCAAGCCGATCCACTTTTTCATGTTGATAAGAGCATTAAAATTAGAAAAAATAATGGGACAAAAAGAAATCAAGAGACATTTAGAATAGATAAAAATGTGCGATTGATTGAGATTAATCGCGAGTTAACTGACATAATGCGATTCAAATATTTTAATCGTTTGATAGCACTAATTTAAAGATAACTCTTTTCTATTTTAGTAAATTTTAAATAGCAAGTTATTCCTGTTATTGCAAAGCTGGATTTTCAGAAGACATTATTCCTGTCTTCATTGTCACACGATCCTTCAGAAATCATTCTAATATGCAGATTTTGTGTTCAAGAAACATTTCTTATTATAATTATCATTTATTTGAATTGGATATTTTTTTAGCAGTATAAATACTTAATTGTCATGTTTAATCAATTTAATGCATCCTTGCTAAATAAAAATATTGATTTATTAAAAAAAAAAAAACTCTTACTCGCCCCAAAAATTTGAATGGGGCAGTACATGATTTTTTTGGCTTGAAAATGGAAACATTTTACTAGGGATGCAACTATATTGACCTTTTGCCAAAGTAATATTAATTAGTTAGCTAGCACACATGAGGTTCTAATCAAATCTGCAAACCCTTTAAATATCAGATAGAATAGTTTGAAAAATATTTTTGTCATATTTGTGTTGGGGTCAGTGAAAATCTGTACTACAGACATTTTCACACCTGTTATATAAACTTGCAACACCAGTATTACTGATAACACGGGGTGGGATGGATGATCGCTTTTGACTTTCGCTTTTAAATTTGCGATTACACGTACTTTGTGTATATAGGCCTATAATCCGCAGGCATCATTGATCCCTTGTACTCTGTTACACGGTGTACAGCCGAATACCGTGTAACAAGGACTACCGTAGCAAGCCTACTACTGGCCTGATCAAGCCAGCATAAAAATCCTTGTAGAGCACTTCCTGAAGTTATGAGGTCATCTATTGTAGTACTCCATAACACACTGCTATTTCAGGTGCAAATAACCATCATTCAAATCACAGGTATATGTGTGTAACTGTATTTGCAGGTCTCTGTGTGTTGTGCTGTAAAGAGAAGTGTGGCTTGAAAGATTTATGAGATTTTAAGCAACCTAAAGGGAGTCTTGCATCTCCCCTTCGCATATTAATTGACATCTGGATGGATAATTAATTCTTGATGGGTAATTACTTGTCTGTTTTTCAGCATATACTCTTCCTTCACTCTGATCCATCATTCTCATATTAATTTGTCTCTGACAGACTTAGACGTACGTGACATTGAACTGATAATGCAAATACGTGTAATTTGTATATTCGAACAGTGGTTAAGTACAGGATTACACGGTTAATTAAAAATCAAGGCCATGAACTCGCACAGATGGCTGAGTTTGTAACCAGAGTTTTATTTTAAGCCTGTTTCAGATGAAAGTTCATGTGTTTTACCATTTTGCTTTATTAGGAAGTTATTAGGAACTTTATTAGAAATTGGGATTTGTGGCATGAATCACGGTACAGATATTTTGCACTGTCACTCCTGTTGCCTCGGCGATTGTGCACATCAACCAATCAAATTCCACCCCTTCAAGGGATGAATGAGGTCACTCTTCATCCAGAGGTCATTGCAGTACTTTGACATTGAAAGAGAGAGATTGATATAGCTCTTTTTAGGGATCCAAGCAGTGAAATAAATACTATTTTTTTTTTTTTTTTTCAGGTTATCCTTTATGCATTTTAAATTATGCTAAGGGTCTTAATGTTGCACCGGTTTTACAGTTTACACTTGCATAGCAGACCTGATTCCTCATTAGTTGAACTTGAATTCATTTATTTATTTTATAGAGTTGTATTTTGGAGTTTATGTACTTTTAATAATGGACAAGGACACTTCTGTTAGTGTTCTAATAGAGTTGACAAAACTGTGAAAAAATTAATTCTCAATAATTTTCAGTTGAACTAAAACATGATTTGCAATGTTTTTCATAAAGAAAACTACTTGGTTGGTTTATATGTATTTTCACCTGTTATTTCTTTGTCTCTCTTTCTCTGTTTAGAGTGTGCAGAGCATGGGCAACACCAAGGCAAGACAGCTGTATGAAGCTCATCTCCCAGAAAACTTCAGACGGCCGCAAACTGACCAGTATCCTTGAGTCTATCTGTCTGTGTTTGTTTGTGGGATTCTGGTTGCAATTATGCTCTAATGGCCTTTGCTAGTCAGTTGGTAAAAGTCAGCATCAACTTCCTAATCTGAGGTTGTTGTGTGGTACAGATGCTTTCTTGATCGTCTGGAGAGAATTTATATGATTAAAGTGAAAAATCCCTTTTCTTGGCTCTAGAAAAGACGAATTGCAGATTTGTAATATGCAAAGAACTGTTTATTTGTGAGCTTATGCAGAGTTTGTGGTGTCGCGTCCTACTCTTTTCTTGCTGCTGCCAAATTCAAACAAACTATCAGATTCTGTAGCCAGCATTAGCAACTTTTCTCTTGTAAGCAACAGAGAAGGGTTTAGAGTATGTATGTACTATGTAGCAGTAGCAGTGTAATTTACTGTTTTAAAGGTAGTTCTACATATTGGAATGTCTTGCACATTGATAAATGAAGATATTCAATGTTTGATTGCCAAATACTTTTTTAGAGTATTTCCACAAATATACACTACCGTTCAAAAGTTTGGGGTCGGTACGATTTTAAATACTTTTAAAAGAATTCTCTTCTGCTAACCATTGCTGCGCTTATTTGATTAAAAATACAACAAAAATCAGTTATAGTATTAAATATTATTCCAGTGTAAATCAGCTGTTTTCTGTGTGAATATATAGTAAAGTGTAATTTATTCCTGTGATCAAAGCTGAATTTTCAGCATCACCAGTGTCAGTGTCTTCAGTGTCAAATGATCCTTCACAAATCAGTATAATATGAGGATTTGATGCTCAAGAAACATTTATTATTATTATCAATGTTGAAACAGTTGTTGGTCTGTCAGTTGTACAGTTTTTTTTTTTTTTTTAGGATTCTTTGATGAATAGGAAGTTCAAAAGAACAGCATTTGTTTGAAATAGAATCTTTTGTAACATTATAAATGTCTTTACTGTCCTTGATAAATAAAAGTATTGATTTCTTTCCTCCAAAAAATAAAAATAAAATTCTCACTGACCCCAAACTTTTGAACGGTAGTGTATATGGCAAAATATTGCTCACAGTTCTTAAGCTTGCAATTGAAGTGATGTTACATTTGAATTTGTTACATACAACACCTAGTGCTATTGCAAAGGATGTGTGCCATTTCCCGTAATACTAATTATCTTATCACCCACTACTCATAGTATTTGGCTAGGCAACTCAGGGACACACCAGTGATTTTTTAACATTTCTATAACTAGCTTGAAGGCAGTTCTTATTTTTAACGGAAAGGGTAGAAAACCATCAATAAATGAGATCTCTATAAAAATTATATATATATATATATATATAATTTTTATATATTATTCAGATATTAAAACTTTATATATATATATATATTTTATATATATATATATATATATATATATATATATATATATATATAAAAAGTTTTAATATCTGAATTAATTGATTTAACAGGCTTTCCAAAGATAGCCTTGGTCTTCTGCTCCCAAAAATACTTCATATTTTCCACCATGAATATGCATGCATGAATATTCTTCTTGTAGCTTAAGAGATTTTTTTTTTTTTTTTTTTTGTCTTTGAGACGTTTGATACCATTATGTTTTTTTGAGACATTTAGTTCCAGGTGATGAACTTTTGCATTACAGGTTGTTCAAACTTGGAAAAAAGGAAAGGATAACTTTTTTTTTTTTTTTTTTATATGAATAAGAATGCATGTAATTGGTACAGTAAGAAAAAAAGCACTGTCATGGAACTGATTGTCTGCACATATTACCATGATTTTTGGACATCATCTACCTTTAAAAAGTTTGGGGTCATTAAGTTTTTTTGTTTTGTTTTGTTTTTTAACAAGGATGCATTGAATTGGTCAAATATACCGATTATCGATACCGATTATCGATACCGATATATCGATACCGATTTTTTTGTCTCAAGATTCGATTCAAAATCGATTTTCGATTCAAAAACGATTCTCGATTTAAAAAACGATTTGCAGTATATAAATGTAGTTTACTTTTTCCTATGTGATTGATTGCAGTAGACACAATTTAAAAGAAAAAAAACACAACAAATTAAATGTAGTTTGATATTACTTTATATGTCTTCATACAAAAATAAAAACTTTTGCAACTAAAAAGTGCAAAGTGCCAAGCTTTGGCCAGCTTTCAAATACATTTAATTCAAGTTTAAAATAAAACTTAAATAAAAAGCTTTTACATTTAGCTTTACAGTGCTGTAGTCAGATCAAACAAACAATTATGCTAAATGTGGTTTAAGGACTACTTCAGCTACCAGATTGACTGTTGAAATGTGAACTGGACTGGGCACATTGAACTTCCTAAAAATATATACTAATGTCATAGAACCTTAGCGAAATTATTTTAAATAGATTTTAAAAAGCCACCGCTACTGGTAACATCTATGGTTAGATTGATTTGTTTAGATCCAGTGAAGTCGTTCATAGGCGTAATTTGCGGGTATCTCCAGTTAACTAGCAGAGCATTCATTTAGTTCGCTATTAAATAAGAGATCTGTTGTTTTTGAAATCAAGCTGAGCGCTCGTGTCCGCTGCTATGTGTCATGGATACAGTGTTCTCTGTGGCTCGCGCAGTCTTCACTCGGACGCGCGCTTCAATCTATCGCCGTTGTGGAGACTCCGGTGAAATCACAAAATAAAATGCACACAAACGTGATGAACATATTCGGTTTTGATGAGAGAGAGAGAGAGAGAGTAAACTATACGAGTGCGGTTTAGAACCCGTAACCTCTGACACGCTTGGCAAAAGATCTACAGAACTCAAACATAATCTGCGGATCGATGCATTTATTTACGGGTTGAGCAGAGAGGCTGCAGTTTGACCAGTGGGCGGCAAGAACTTAGCCTGGATGCCAGCCCGAACCCCGCCCATAACATTTTTTGGTCGGGAAGTTCGGTCTGGACTCAATCCATTGAGGAGCAATTATGATCAGTCAAAAAATGTTCGGGCCAATCAAATTGACAGGGCGGGCTTTATAGAGGGAATGCATTAACGTCACTTTCCCGCCGGAACACGCCCCCCTCAGCCGGACTGAGTGGCAAAAGAGCTGCTGCGTGGCTGGAGTTAATAGGGGAAACTGCGAAAACGCGAGTAAAACAAACTATTATCAGTTTAAACTAAAAGTTGGACTCGATGTAGTGTTCCCTTACAACTTATCAAAGATCCAGTGATCCATGGATATTGACATGCAGCCAGGAATCGTGTTTCCTGACATTTATATGTGCCTGATTTCGACGCCTGGGAAATAAATTAAGAAAATTTGCCTGTAAACGTTTTATATAAATACAATATCGATAGGTCTAAATCCGAGTGATCACTTATATTAATGTTATACTGTATATCATCATATCGTCCAGCCCTAAAACTTGTATAGTTTTTTGTCAGTGTTTATTTAAAAACATCCAATTATGCAGAATATAGTCTGTTCTGTAGCTTTTTGCAGTCTGTAAAAATATACAGTACCTCAGATTTCTGGTCAAATCTAGTTGTACAGTCAATCGCAAAGCTCTTTCCCGTTTTAGATGTGTTTTGTGTGTTTTTCACGGCATTCACGCTGAAACAAATGCTGCCGCTCAGTCTTTTTGCCACTTGTGGGCGTGACCGCATTCACTCCGGCCGACGGTGACGTCATGCGCATACCCTCTATACGATGATGGACAGATGGTCTGCAGGGACGTAATCATCACATTATCAAAGAGCGCTTAACTGGTTTCCCTCAAAGATGACTGCAGCTGGAGAATTGAGATGTATAGATTCCGCTGTCGCGTCTGTTGTAAAATAAATCGACAGGGCATTCTTTTTAATAGACGAATAGAAAACTGCAATCAAGGCATTTATCGATCGGAAAGATATTTTTGCCGTCCTTCCTACAGGATTCGGCAAAAGTGTAACTTATCAGCTGGCTCCGATGGTCGCTAAGAAGATGGGATGCAATGAAACCCTGTGGTCGTTGTGGTTTCTCCTTTGGTCGCACTCATGGAGGACCAAGTAAAAGAAGCAACACTCGTTATTTTACTTCTTCCAGCGTGCGTGCATTTGAGTTCTGTAGTTGACAACTGTGCTATGCAAAGTAGTTGACTTACTGCGTTGCTCTGATTGGTTGTAGGTCTATCCAATTGAGTGCAGAGTTTTTTTTTTTCCTGGTTCGGTTAAGACACGCCTCATAATCAAAGCCCTATGAAGCAGTATCAGACTCACATTCTGACTAGAATATGAGTATGACGAAGTCAGGCTAGCAAGAACTTGCAATGTAACTATTTATCAGACCGGCCCTCGCGACCTCGAAACACTACCGGACCACCGGTAAAAGTCCCGACTCACCCGATTGCCGTGCACGCCATTAAAAAAAAATATATGAATCGATTTTTGGAATTCTATGAATCGATTCTGGATCGGTAAAGATTGAATCGATTTTTTTGCACACCCCTAATGTGACGCTTAAGACTGGAGTAATGATGCTGAAACATCAGTTTTGCCATCACAGGAATAAATTACATTTTAAAATACATTAAAACAGAAAACAGTTATTTTACATTTTAATATTTCACTAAATGTTTTTTTTTACTGTATTTTTGATCAAATAAATGCATAGACTTACCGACTCCAAACCTGTGAGCAGTAGTGTATTAATAATTGCACAATTCTATGAGGAATTTCAGAATAAATGGGTGATGCATTTTGAGTTATACATTTCATTTGCCAGTTCAGTTCTGTCACAAAGTATATACACATATCATGAATATATATATATATATATATATATATATATATATTAGGGCTGGGCACGTTAACACGTTATTATCGCGTTAACGCATTTATTAATTAACCGCGACAATTTTTTTATCGCACGTTAACGCAGTTTTTATTTATTTATTTTTTTGAAAGTCCGTTGCTCACTGGCTCTGAATACACATAGGCCTACAGTCAAACCATGGGTCACAGGAGGGGTGGGATGTTGGTCAGCCAGCAAATAACCCTTCCAAACAAGCAGTGGACGGAGGCTTCGGCAGGTTCTCTCAGGTGAACAGAAAGGGAGACAGCGCTCCGCGAGTGAACGGCAGGCGCTCTATGGATAGTAACCCTGGCAACGGCTTCAGTGCGCAGCTGCAGCCTTCTTGACTTAAATTAAAATTATACATTTAGTTTAGCGGGGATGCTCTGCCATGTGAATTCCCTCCTGTTGATGTCCTGATAACTATTTAGATTCTGGAAACTCACAAACAGCGAGGATCAGTCTCTCTTCCAATGATTTGTGCTGTGTACAAAAAGTTCAAAACAGTTCAACTTCGGCATCGGGCGGGCGTGTGCGCACAACCACGACAGTCTACCGGGAACGCACCCGCTTGTCGCTGCACCTTGTGCTCGACCACTTCACCTCACTCTAACAGGGAAACTTGCTACTGAACACAGACTGTTTGATACCTGTTCAGAAAAAAAACAAGAAAACAGGACTCTGATGGTAACTTGTTTTAACAAGCTAGATAAAAGGTAATGCCCTGGCAGTGGCAAATAGCTTTGGTTTATTATTTAATTTGATTACAATGTTTAAGTTGAGATTTACAAGAAATATTTTATTTCTACTTGTGTAAAGGGAATACTGCTGGTAAAAAGCACATTAGGCTATTTGTTTAAAGTTTTTGCAAACCACATGTTATTGCACTTTTATGTATATAGCAGTACATTTAAATCGAAAGTGCGCAATACACTACTTTAGAATTCATTATTCAATTTTGCGCGTAACAATGTGATTAATCGTGATTAATCACAAAAACATCATGTGATTAATCGCGGTTAAAAATTTTTTAATTGTTGCCCAGCACTAATATATATATATATATATATAACAGTTGGGAATTCCTGTTCTAATATTTGTGGATGTGTGTGAGTTTGGCAGGCAAAGCCTGTGTGACTTCACACCTCTGGCTCCAGAGATCCAGAGAAAACAGCTGCTGTTTTCAGCACATTCACACACAGCAGAACTGAACAGGAACTTCCTCATCTCTGAGGCCCGATAGGAAGTCTCTTCATGTCTCTCATCCCTCCGCCTCATCTCTCTTGCCTCGGGTATCCTCCTCCGTCCTATTTCACACCATCAGTCTAATTGGGTGTGTGTGGCGGCCAGGATAATTCCATATTCTCCTCATTGGCGCCTTCAGAAACTCTAATTGAATTTCCCTGGCATCCGTGGCCCGTTATCAGCTCTCCTGCATTTGGTGTGGCTATGGAAATGGCTTCATTTGTATGCTGACCGATGAGGTACAATATTCTTAACCGTCAAAATGGATTAATCTGGACAGCAGAGGTGAGCTTCCTCCACAAACTGGCTTTGATGGAATTTGCTTTATCACAGGTGTGGTTTCTTCAGATGGAAATGCGGATCTTTTGTGCTCCAGTGTGGGGGTATCTAACTCTCTCTCACTGTCTCTCACTTCCCACTTATCACCGCTTCTCTCTCTCTAATGGAAAAGTTGGTCGTGTTAATATAAACGTCAGATCAGCAGAGAGAGGAAATTTGAAGTTCTTTCTCTTTTGTTGCAGAGATACCTTCATTTGGTGTGCTTGTAGATTCTTTTTTTCTTTCTCATTTTTCTGTGTGTGTGTGTGTGTGTTTTTAACTGCATATACCTCATTTTTCTTTCTCCTATTTATGCCAGCACTATTTTTTTATGCATCATCTTTCCTCCCGGTTTCTCTCTGTAACGTTTGCATCATGTTCTATCTCAGTGTGATGCAACAAAACATCTCTTGCATTTTAAAGAAGCCCTGCATAATGAAGTGTTCCTGAGGATTTTAATTAGCTGGTTCAGGTGTGTTTGATTAGGGTTTGAGCTGAACTTTGCAGGAAGGTAGATCTCCAGGAACATATGTTATGCTATGTTCATTCAAAAACAGTAGATGGAGTGCAACAGAATGGAACTGAATGCAAGTGTCTCCACTCGTTTTAAATTTAGGTGCTTTAAAGGGTATTTATGTAAAGATGCTTGAAACTTTTCCAAGATGGTTTTATGTGGTAAAACTGTCTAACAGCTACAGCACAGCAAGCTGTCTGCATGTTAATTAAAGCAGTACTGCTATATATTTATATATATATTAGGACTGTCGATGTTAACATGTTAATGTATGCGATTAATTCAAGCTCCTTAACACGTTAAAATAATTTGTATGCTATACTCATGTTGCATTTTCAGTGAATTATTAATGACAGTGTGTGCTTTGCTTTAAAACACGAGCTCTGTCATATTCTGTGATTGTGTCTGAAGAGTGTGAGCCCTCACGCATCGCGCTGTGTGAAATATAGACTGAACGGAACGTCAAAACATCCCACCGCTGTATGGCCAGATAATACGCAAACTACGTTTCTCATCTGGATAAAGCAAACCAGGGTGTCGCGAGTTTTGATGGATGGAGGATTGCTGTATCTTAAACATTGAATGTATTCCTCCTTGTCATTTTGTTTTGGGATGTATTTTGTTTTCAGCGAGAACCAAAAAATATTATGCGTTGATTAATCAGATGGCTAATTCAGTGTTGGTGCTTTTGGCAGTTACCTATAATTACTGTACTGTTCAAAATTTTGGGGTCAAAAATTTTAAAGAAAATAAACTTTTATTCAAGGAAGCATTAAATTGATCAGAAGTGACAGTAAAGATATTTACTATGTTACAAACGATTTATATTTAAAATGGATTGTTCTTTTGATCTTTCATCATAGCATCCTAAAAAAACACATCACTGAATTCACAAAAATATTAATCAGCACAACTGTTTTCAACATTGATGATAATAAATGTTTCTTGAGCACCAAATCCGCATTTTAGAATGATTTCTGAAGGATAATGTGACTCTGAAGTGAACACTTGAGTATGATGCTAAAATAATGCAAATAACGCTGTTTTATTTATTATATAAATACAGCTTTGGTGGACAAACTTTTCGACTCCAAGCTTTTGAAAGTTCATGTATTTTAGCTCTTTTTATTAATATTATTATTTTTTTTTTTCACTCAGTGTACCACTTAAAATTCTTCCTGGACCAGCAGGTTGAGAACCCCTGATCTTTTGTACTGAAGGTTTTCACAAGGCTTTTGTCACACACTTTTTTTTCTTTTTTTCTTGCATTCTTTCTCTTCCTGCCACCTGCTTCTTCACCCTGATCCATATTTCATCCGATGCATTATTGTATTGTGATAAGGGATTCATGAGAGTGTAAATCCAATAAAGCTGCATGAACCGGTCCTCTTAGCATTTACCTGTCACTGTATAAATTCGCACTGTTAACAAAGGGTGAGATTCGGAGAGTGTGTGTTTTGATTTCTGTTTGGCCCCAATCTTTGTGTGTGTGTGTTTGCTGTGAAAGGAAGGGTTTCTCTTTTTCAAATACCGTTGTTGTATTGAGTTTGTGGTCCAGATGCGGTGTTGTTGGTGCTCTGGTGTCTTTAATGATGAGGAGAGATAACAGCCAGTCTGAGAGGGCCAGCATCTTTACTGCAGGAGTTACATTGTAGCTGTGCAAGATGCCAATTAAAGCTTTCTAGCCAAACTGAGATTTGCCATACCTGAGATTCAAAAACCAATAAGACAATAAAAACCACATCAAAAATGAAGTTTTGTGGCTTTCAGTCTATATTTGTGTACTTTGAGGACATATAAAAATGAGGTATGATGAAGTATATCCCATCAATCAGATGAAAAATGTGAGACAAACCATTTCATGGGGTGTTTTCAACATTAGCTGACATCATGTTTCTTGATGTTTGTCACAACCTTCTCTCGGGTACAGAGTGAATGCAAGCCAGGCTTGTTTAAATGCTGTGATGTTTAAAATGATTTGTGTTAGTTAATAAGGCTTGAATTTTCCTTAGCAATGTTTCAGAACTGTGGAGTTCTTCATCAGGGACAAGTACGAGAGGAAGAAGTACTACGATAAAAACGCTGTCAATGGAGCCATTGTGAGTATCAACTTGCACCCATTCACTGTTGCTATCAAACATCTGTGTGTGTGTATGTGTGCACTGCAATGTTTTATTTTTCAGGTTCATGACCACATTATTTATAAATCCTCAGCAAAGTTGGGTCACCTTAAAATCGTTTTTTAGTAGATCTGTGGTAAAACAGTCATATATTAATATATTGTGTTTTTCCCCCTACATGATTGCATTGATAGTTCCTTATTTGCTCTGGACTCGATCTATTGAGGAGTAATTATGATCGGTTCAGAATTAGTCGGGCCAATCAAATTGCCAGGGCGGGCTTTATGCGATGATGGACAGATGATCTGTAGTTACGTAATCCTCACGTTATCAAAGAGCGCTTGGGTTGAACTGGTTTCCCTCAGAGATGACTGCAGCTGGAGAACTGAGATGTATAGATTCCGCTATCGCGTCTGTTGTAAAAGAAATCGACAGCGCATTCATTTTAAAAGACGAACAGAGAACTGCAATCAAGGCATTTGTCGATCGGAAAGATGTGTTTGCCGTCCTTCCAACGGGATTCGGCAAAAGTTTAATTTATCAGCTGGCTTCGATAATATTACACGCAATAAAGTGCGTATCAAATGCACGCACAAAACTGCGTATCATATGCACTTAAAAAATAATTTACGCGTATTAAATTGCACGATAAACACAACGCGTGCTATAGAAATGCATTTTCCAGGGGCTATGTATTTTCTTTAACTGACAATTTACATTTGTTCCTCAATGTTTCCTTTAGGAATCGTGTTCGTGTTTTTGCAACACAAAACGTGTTGGATGTACCTTGTGTAGGCCTACTAGGAATAGTGCAAGCATTTTTTTTATTGACCTATTCAGATGTCTTTTCTTTTTTCAGATTGCACATAATGTGTATGTGTTATGTATTGTGACAGGGGCTATGTATTTTCTTTTATTATGGCCTACTTAAGCATATACAAATTTGCTCACTAAGAACATGTGAACCACAATCCCAAACTGGCAGTTTGATTTTCTGTGTACTGAATTGTTTACCTAAAGTAAACTTGTTGGACTTCTATGCACATCATGTCTTTTTTTAAATATTACTTTTTCTAAAATTATAGTCCTACTTTAAAAAAATCCCAATAAATCGCCTTATGCACAGTATCGAAATATATTGCAATATATTGAATCGTGACCCATGTATCGTGATGCGTATCGCCAGATTCTTGCCAATACACAGCCCTAATTGTATAGTGAGCCAGCACTATAGTTTACTGTATATTTTATGTACTGAAGGCCTGATGTTGGTGGTCAGTTGTTCTGATCATTGAGGCCTCAAATTCACATTACACAGCCTGATGGGTTGCAGCTGTGCTTTACCAGGTAAATTGATTGACAGGAGCCAGCAGCCAATTAAAGCACTCTCACTCATGTTAAATTACTGTCTGTGATTACCAAATCTTTAAGAACTTCACAAAGAATAGTAATTGACCATCCTTAGCGTGCTGTGCTTAAGCTCCTCACGCATTATCATGAGACTGAAGTCCTGCAATCTAAACAAACAGCCTCCTTTTGGCCTTTTCTGATTGCTTTGGATCAGGAGAGACTGAAACATGGTTGCAGCGTGAAAGCTTTTCGATCAAACTCTGCAAGGCTGCCCTGTCCAATTACAGTTCTCTTTCTACTTAAGCCTACCCAAGAAGAGCTCTGCCTCTCTCCGACAGGCCCGTCTGAGCCAGCCAATTAAAGCCCCTGCCTGCAGAAACCGACAGCCAATCAGATTTCAGCAGAGGTCAATGCGATGGTGGGCAGCCGCTGATTGAGTCATAAACCAGACATGTATACAAGCAGCATCAGTCTGTGTCAGAGAAAGGATGAGAGAAGAAAGAAAAACAGTTAGATGAATTAAAATTCAATACTAAAATGTAAAATAGTGGCGTGTTGTGCACCGCACTGTAAAGTTGAGGGACTGCCTGAAGAAAGACTGTGATTCCAGGTCGTCCTCGTTCACCCACTCTGCCAACGGCTTTTAAATGCAAATAAGTGATTAAAAACAACTCGCTATCAGTTTAAGGCATTTTGCTTAATGTGAGGAGGGGGGTCTGGATGAGAGAGAGAGAGTGTGTGTGTGTGTGTGTGTGTGTGTGTGTGTGTGTGTGTGTGTGTGTGTGTGTGTGTGTGTGTGTGTGTGTGTGTGTGTGTGTGTGTGTGTGTGTGTGTGTGTGTGTGTGTGTGTGTGTGTGTGTGTGTGTGTGTGTGTGTGTGTGTGTGTGTGTGTGTGTGTGTGTGTGTGTGTGTGTGTGTGTGTGTGTGTGTGAAGAAAAGAGAATGAGAAGCTGAGTGAGAACAGTTTTGTGAAGTGAGGGACTGTTATTTGATATGAATGCACAAGACGTCTTTGCTCTTTGTGTGTTTAAAATGTATTAATGTTTAAAAACTGGTTTTGGTTTGTGTTGTTAATGTGAAATGTAGCTTAAACAAAATAAAATGTAATATCAATTTTAGATTAAAAAAAAAAACCATGGCAACATTTCTCATTTTCATTTAAGGTTTTGTTGAAGTACTACAATAGTCTGGGTCCCATCCCACCAGTTGAGACTGTTTTAAACTAAATACGAAAATTAATTGTTGCCCTACTGTTAGTATTTGCTGATTGAGTACAAAACAATGTGTACGTTATTATTTCCCTCCTTTAATACATCTGCGTTTGTCTTTTTGAGTACAAAACAATGTGTACGTTTTTATTATTTAGTTACCTCCTTTAATACATCTGCGTTTGTCTTTGCTAATGCATATCCTGGTTTATATGCACAAGTTCCGGCTTTGACGAGGGTGTAACTGAAGCCATTACAATCATGCACGTTATTTACCTGTCACTGGTTAATCTGCCTATTAGAAGGTAAATGTTTAAGCAACACTATTTAACAAAGCTTAAGATTCTGCCATTATTCACTCACCTTTATTTTTATTCCAAACCTTTATGACAGACTTTCTTAAAAAATAATAGAAGATATTAACATTTGTCAGTGCTGTTTTCTTCCATGTCACATAAATTGAGCCTTTAATGCTATCAGAAGCTCGGTTGTGTTATACTAGTTGATTATTCACTTACGTCACTATTCTAAAGTTTAGTAATGTTTGAGAAAGGAGTATCTTATGCTTATCAATGCTGCGTTTATTTTGATAAAAAATACAGTAAAAACAATAATACTGTGAAATGTTATTATAATTTAAAATGCATTTTCTCTGTTGATTTATTTTAAAATGTGATATACGTTTGCCTGTGAAGGCAAAGCTGAATTTTCAGCATCGTTACTATAGTCTTCAGTGTCACATGATCCTTCAGAAATCTTATTATTATCAATGTACAAAAAAAAAAAAAAGCATGGAAAGCATGATACTTTTTACAAGATTTTTGAAGAGAATAGTTCAAAAGAACAGCATTTATTTGAAATAGAAATATTTATATAATGTACTATAATTGTCATTACTGTCTTTTTTTTTTTTTTTACTTTTGTGTGGTGTTTTTTTGTCTCGGCTCTGGTGCTGGGTTTCACCACTCTTTGGGAACAACTTGCCCCAGTGATGTCTTTTAAGTCTCATCATGTGACTCTGACTCTAAGCCTGAGATGGAGGCATCTGATGAGCAGCTAGGACAAAAAAAAGAAAGAAAAGAAATCAATAGTTGCTTGCTTCCAGCCCAGGCGGAGAGAAATGCAATATTGCAGCCTTTCCTTGCTTCAATTACTAAAACAAGCTCAAGAGAGTCTAACGGACCATCCCTCGCTTTCCTTCTCCTTGTCTTCCTGTCTCGTGGCAGTAATGAAAGTTCTGTGTGTTCTTCTGTGGCAGTAGATGGGGAATAAATGTGTCTTATTGAAAGCCTTATCTCCAGTCAGCGTGCTGAAGTCATGTTCCCTCCCTGCTGATTCACACCATTTAAATGATTGTGTGTGTGAAGCCAACAGCGAAGCGGAACCTCAGAAAATAAATGTCCTAGGATATTAAGCGTCCTGCACTTCCTTGTTTTGTTTTGATGTTTTCAAAACGTGTTTTTTTTTTTTTTTTCATGCTTTTTTCATTATTTTGATCAAAGTGTTTCCGAAGCCATGGAAAATGCGCAAAATGAAGAATCTCAGTGGGCCGTTTTTAATATCAAGAACAGAATATATAAAAGACGACAGTAATATGAACATCACAGGCTCAGCTCTGCAACGGTCTGTGTGAGCGTGAATGTGTGAGTGAGATACCAGAGCGTTACTAATAATAGCTTCAGCCTTCCGCACCCAGCGATTGGACAATTCTCATACTTCTCACTGTCTCTTTTCTCACTGCAGTCATCTAAGCCTTATTCAGCCCCAAGTGACCTGGCCTGCTTGGCCGTTTGCACTGCATTATGGGGCATTTAGCTGTTCGCTCCTTCTATTACTCCCCAGCTAGAAAGCTGGAGACCTTTGGACCTCACACCGATGCTGTTACTTCTTTGAGAGGATGGGAGTCTTCACGCCTTTGGCTGCATTTAGATGGAGATGGGTTCTCTACACCCTCCAGGCTGATTGCTGTCTCTGCTTATTGACCGCCTCTCCTCATCTCCTCCTGCTTCCCGTTCTGGCCTTATTTCCCCAGACGGGCACGCTGGTATTAAAGGGATTGGGGGAGAAGAGGAGGAGTATTGTGTGGTATTATTTAATGGCTCTCTAATGAATATGGGCCCATGCTGCTGTGGAGCATAGTGGTGATGCTTACCCAATAAAAGCAGATTATGAGGGGCATCCATCAGCAGGTAATGAACCGGTCCGGACAGTTCTGTGTTAACTCGAGCTGTAATGGACCTACTTGTTCAGCTTGGGCTCTGTGGACGCATGCTGCTGACAGCACTACTTCCATACTGGGACAAAGGGAAAGTCATCCGTCTTCTTGTCCCTTCCTCTTCCTGAAAACTCCCTCGCCAACGTCACTTGCTTCAAAGGAATATTCTGGGTTTAATACAGGTTAAGCTCAACCAACAACATTTGTGGCATTATGTTGAATACCATTATAAATAAAAAAAATGTGGTTATTGTGAAGCACCTAGAATGCCGTTATGGCAGAAATGTGAAGCTTAATTTTATTTTAAAAAACAACACTTTTTTTTAATTTTTATGTTAAATATGCATACATTTTTGTGTTAAAACATATGTATTAATTTAGCTGTAAAGTAGTTTAAATCACTTTTGTATAGTAATTCTCAGGTTTATGGTGTAACGTTGTCATGGCAAGTCGTTACGTTGACAATGTTTCACAGACATGTTCAGTAAACAATTTTAAAGGGGTCATATAATGCCATTTGTGTACAAGCTAATATGATTCTTTAGGGGTTTGTAATATACTTTAATTAAAAATTCTCATTAGTATTGTAAGAAAACACTTACCTGGTCAAAAACAGCTCTGTTTTCAGCACGCTGTTTCAGTGCATATGACTTTAAATGATAATGAGCTTTGTTCTGTGCTTACACCATTTGTAACTCAATAACACAATAACCAATAACGCTTTGTTCAGTATAAATGTGGGATTATATGAATTATATTGAGAACGTCATACATAGAAAACATGCCGTAGTGTACCCTGAGTGTAAACCTTAGACGCATTCATTGTGAAGCGTGCAAGCGATTTGCAAAGATTAATATATTAATATAAAGTTTAATAAAACGTTACACTCACTTCAGTTCTTCTGGAGATTCAGCAGGAACACGAATAGTTGGTACCGATCCTTTTTTCATGAGCAGCTTCTTAGCAAATCCAGCTTTATACTGATCCTCGTTTATAAAGCAGTCTGGTGAGAAATGATTCGAGCAAACATGAGAGCATTGACTTTGATCGTGGGGAATATTCCCTTCGGAAAAAAACCACTGCGTCTTCAGCGGTTCGGATTTAGGAACATTATGACGTTATTATTATTTTAGGAACATAAAATAATAATACATTATTATTTAGGAACATAAATGACGGCTGTGTTCGTTATTACACCCAAGAACAGAACACCGCAATCGCTTAGACGTCATTCTGCTCATAGACAGTGCTCCAGCATATCAACAATGACCGCGCCGGTCCGCGCGGACTATGATTGACAGCTGGCTCACGAGCGAGGGCGGGTCTGTGTTGAAACGCTCCTGTCAATCAACAATCGTGGGAGGGGCTTCCGAGCGTGTGCCTTCACACGGTCGAACGGCTTGATTTGAGGCAGGGGAAAACATATAAGGAGATTAAAACAAAAACACTGGATGGATTTTTAGCATTTTATGATGGTTGTGTACAGGCACTGCCAACACACATTTCAGTACAATCAACTTGTAAAAGTGCATGTACCATTATATGACCCCTTTAACACCAATATCATGTTAACACATTGTTTAAAACACGTAGATATACTTTTTAAAAAAACGACTAACGTTTAAAATGTTTGTAATCAACATTATGCCACTAATGCTTCCTGTTGAGCTTAAACAAGCCAAACATGATACAAAAATTACTATTTCCAAACAATTACTATTTTTGCTATGTTTTGAAGTGTGCATCAATAAAACCTAAAATTGATTTAATACCTTCAATATTAAGAATGCTACTACATTAATTTTTTCCTGTCAATTAACCTATCATTTTCTTTTTATTTTAGTAGTTCTATATTACCCCCACCCACAATAAATCTATCAATTATTTTCTGATTAGGTGATTAACCCTTAGGTTAACTTGCCAATAAATAACCATAACTTCTGGCATTTATTTTCTCTGTTTTATTCAAACGTTTTCTCATAAAAAAAACTTGAGCATAAAAATACGAAAACATGTCCAGCATTAAAAAAATACTGACGAAGGCAAAGAGCCGAAACGTTCGTATAATCTTTATCTCCTCTTTGTAACAAATAAAGTATTCTTAGAGTGCTATGTTTTTTGCATTTTTGTACTGATAGGTCTCCGCACCTAATTAGCTGGGAGAGCGCGGTGAGCGTTGATTTTAATTTTCTCACCCATGCTCTTTTCCATATTAGTGATGTCCAGTTCATGAATGAATCATTCTTTTGAACTGGTTCTTTTTAGTAAACTGGTTGAACCAAATTGGACTGAACGTGCTTGCTAGTCACATAGACTCAAAATGATCCAAATATCCAGAACTATGATCCTATAATGGTTTATTTTTTTCTTAACTCATTCTTTCTGACATATCCGACTGAGAACTGTCTGCTGAGGGTTTCATAACGGGGGCAAAATGTATGTTTGTGATGTCCTTTGCAGAAAAGCATAAAGTATAACAAATGAAACGTTTGGAAATATAACAGTGATCCGACGGCGGTAGTTCTTCTTGAGTCAACAGCAGTTCCCAGTCTCTCTCTCTCTCTCTCTCTCTCTCTCTCTCTCTCTCTCTCTCTCTCTCTCTCTCTCTCTCTCTCTCTCTCTCTCTCTCTCTCTCTCTCTTTAATAATAGAATTGCGTATATGTAAATGTCATTGCATGATTACGTAAATAAATCAGTGATTCGATTTTTTGAACCAGTATTGAAGCGAATTGTCTGAAAGAACCAGTTCGCAGAATAGAATCAGACTTCCCATCAATACTCTTCCACTTCACCCTCTTCCTTTTTTTCCCCTCCCTCTGTCTATTAGGGATTGGAGTAGGAACCATGGCCCTGACCCATCCATATCTCCCCCTTCTCTCTTTTTCCCCCAAGATAAATAGGCTTTGTGGGACTCTGTGAAGGGGCAGGGCCATCTATCTGCCCCTGAGTCAATGAAACAACTACCCTAAACAAACTACCCTGAGCGAATGAAAGGGGGCACAGTGAGGGAAAAGGGAGAAGACAACAAAAGATCAGTATCATTCGATGCTTGGAAGATGTTATAGCAGGTGATCTTGAATTACCAAAAAAGCGCTTTGTATTAAGAAAACATGAACATGAGGGTGATTTTAATTTTTAAGCGGTTTGACTTCACATTTTCTGTGAAAGAGGTTTTTTGTTTTTGACAGGTGACTCAAACCTGTATTTCTACATATTTAAGCATGTGGCTGTGCAGGTTAATTTGTTTATGTACATACAGTGGAAGTTCATAAAAAGAGGGATTCATGTTGAGAGTAGGGGTGTGTGATATTGACAAATTATATCTCGATATTATCAGGGATATTATTTCTAACAATAATTTGACAATATTTTGCTCAGTGTGTTTAGTGTGTTGGTACCATGACAGGATTAGGACTGCCTTGGACAGCTGACTCCCAAAGCTTTTGATATTCTTCATATTCTGTGTGGAGGTCAGTTCGCCGCAGTGACAGAAATCATCTTTTTTTCAATAAGTTTAAATCGATTTTTTACCTTTTTTCGACCATTTGATTACATAATTTTTAATGATGTAACCAATAAATTCAATTTAATTCACATGCACGCTAACCTACTAAGACTACATCACGTAGTGTATGCGTGCACTCTCTAGGTGTGTTTTTGTAAAGTGAGGGACGTATTTGATAATGTCACACATCGTTAAAACAACATTCACGATATTATCGTAGACGGTATATGTATCGCACACCCCTAGTTGAGAGCACATATTAAGTTTGGTTTCTCAACCAGTACAGTCTTTTGGTATTCCACACAACATTAATCATAAGAAGTTTGTGCATAATTAGAGACTAACTATATTTTCAGGCTTCTGTATTTAGACTTCAGGAATTCACACCTGCTATTGCAATCGATATAACGCTAAAGAGGAGTCAGACATGACTTAATTATAAGTCAAAAGGCATCACTTGCTGGCTTGCAGTTCTCACTCACCTTGTTGAACATCAGCTGCTATGCCTTTTTGTTATTTTTGCTTTCATAACTAAACGGCGTCAATGAGATTTTAAATGTTTCATATCCCTGTTCAAATTGTGCTCTGTTCTTTTGAAAATAAAATAGAAATATAAGGCCATGCAGTCCTATAATACAAGCAGTAATTGAACCACTTTGGGTATTTTGTTATATTACAAACGATGCTGATCTACCCCAGACAATGCAATTCTTAATGAAACTGAAAATAGAAATCCATATTATTGAACTTGGCTGAGCTTTTGATACGTATATGTAAACGTATATGAGCAGACTTTTCAAACACCATTTGTCTGATTGATGCAGTTATTTGCAGTGGCTACACTTGTGAGTTAATTCTATTGATTTGAGGCAGTCTTAGCCATGCAGATTGACAGACTGACTGCAGATTCGACAGATGGACTCATTTATAGAGTCTGTTGGAACATCTGGAAAAGTCTGGGCTATTTTTAACCAGCAATGTGTCCTTGATGATCGATGTGACTGCTTATGCAACTAGATCAAGATACGTGGATCCTTTTCCTGATTTGTATATTTGTGCAACCTATTTAAATGCAGAATTTTTGTCTTGTTTTCCAGTTAAAATATCGAAACATCCTTAAAACAAGGTAAATTCACTTGAGAAGTAAAACTGCATACGTTAAATATATTGTGAACTAAGTTCTTAGCCCTTTGGCAAATTGTTTTTTTTGCCTTTTAAGCATGAATCTTATTGAGTTTTACATGTGAAAATAATGCCAGTGGGTAAACAAAAGCTTAATTCTCAAGATTTATTCTCTGAAAACAACTCTTAATATCTGAAGCAGTTTTGCTTTACGAGTGACTGTTGTTTTAATGATGTTTAAATATTTTTACTTGCACAGAAGTTCTACTGAGTTGTTCAATTTTGGGTGTGAGTGTGTGTGTGTGTAAATTTTGCTTTTCCAAGTCTCCCACAGGCTGAATAATTATTCACTGTATAGTGATTGCTGCAGCCTATTAATTCAGATCTCTCTCTCTCTCTCTCTCTCTCTCTCCACTCTTTTTATTCCACATCCCCTCTTTATCACTCTCTCTCTCTCATTCTCTTTCAATTGCTTTCTTTTACCCTCTCGTCCTCTTTCTTTCTCCTCTGCTCCTGCAGAAGTCCTCTGATGCTGCTTTGCCCTCAGTATCGCCTCCTCCTTCGCAAGCAGCTGAGAAAAGTAAACTGGAGGTACTGTAGTCTTGTGCTTTGTGCTGTGCAGATCACTGATATTGGTGCTGTGCTTATGCTGTGCATTCCGCCTGCTTCCCAATTCGCATGCTTTCCATCCTAAATAGTTTGCAAGTTTAGAATTATTACATTCCAAATTATATTATGTTTAAAAAATTCCAAACATGCCCAAATGTAGTAGTTTTTCTGCTACATTTTTTAAATGTACTTCCATAAAACCTAAAAACAAAGTGCCTGTCTGTTAGCTTTGAATCCATCTGTATGCACTAACTTGACACATTTAGCTTTTAACTGGAAGAAAACGAACTAGAAACATCGATGTTGTAGTACTAAGACCTATTGGTTACTGGCCTCTTTGATATGTTGTATCTAGATGCAACTTTTTGAGGTATATTTCATCAAAAAAACAAATGCCCTTTTTGTGCTGTTATTCAATCACTGAATCAATGTTCTATGATAATGTTACGCAGTCTCCATGTCCAGCTTGATTTATGTTGGTTAGTGCTACATCTTAGCTGGTCAAGTTGGTCAGCCAGCATGTTTGGTTAAGATAGTTTGGCAACAGCTTAGAAGCACCAAAATATGTTGGTGGCCATTATTATTATTCTAAATAATATATATTATATGTAAACTATAACAACAATTATTATAAAATTATAATAATAACTATTATTGTCATTATTGTATAAATTATAAGCAATATTATAAAATCTAAGAAAAAATAATAAAATCATATATACCAGTACTATTTAATTTCCTACTGCTACAATTTCCAATACATAATCTATTTGTAAAATGGAGCATGTAAAGCGGATGTAATTGCTCAACCAGAACCGTCTGACTATTGACAAGTTAGCAACAGATTATATAACAGCCTGTAAGAACGATTATTTAAAGGGACACTATGCAGCTTTTTTAGCTTAACTGAACAGCTTCAGAGTTATTGAAATGGTTATATAACTTCTTTCGGGTTGAATGGTGGGCGTCTCGACCCCCCCTGGTGCCTGTGAGCGAAAAAATCTCACTTGCAACTTCGGTGCGGCGGGCCGCGTCAGGAAGTATCGCATAAAATCAGCTCTCGCGATGTAACATATTCCTTTACGGCAACTGCACACATACACACAGGAACAAGGTATAGATGGATGGAGTTTGTCACACTATCGTCATGGCTGAGCCGGCATATAAGATGCAGAAAGCTAGGAAAGCATTGTCGGAGGAACAGAGAAAGAGGAAACGGCAGACTGACCGAGCGAGGAGTCGGACACGAGCATAGGCATAATTTGCGGGTGTGCTATGTCCCCATTGAAACTTCTCGCGGCACGGATGTAACGTTACCATTACAAACAAATAAAACATCTCCAGGTAACTCTAGTAGAGCATTCATTTCGTTCGTTTGTTAAATAAGAGGCGATCTGAAATGTGTTATTTTTGAAATCAAGTGACCAAAGTGCTCGTTGCCTCTGCGATCAGTGGTGCAGATAAGTGTTCTGTTGTGACGCGCGCCTGAATCCGTTGCGGGGACTGAGAGACTCTCTATATTTTGTTATGGTGAAATCACAAAACCTAATGCACAAAAAACATGTCCCTGCTTGAAATACAACCACTAATAAACAATCGGTTTTGATGAGGAAAATAAACTATACTACTAGCTAGTACCGATTAGAACCCAGAACCTCTAACACGCTTGGCAAAAGTTCTGCCTCTGGACCATTAAAATTGTCGGATCTATGTATTTAATCACGTGAAAATTCTCACCACTAACAACATATATTATATCTCATTAAACGACAAATTAAACACAATGTACTATTGTATACTATGTAACAGGCATGTCACGCTCTGAGTGAGTGGTATTTACGACAGTAACGTTAAATTCAAGTACTCCACAGTAACTCTAGGGGTCGCTGTTTGACAAAAACGGGATTTCTGCATAATGCCCCTTTAAACCAAACAAAGGGGAAGATGAAAGAACCTATAGAAATCACACTGACGGGTTCACATCCATTGTTAAAAAGTGCTGTGGTTGTATTTGAGTGTGTGTGTGTGTGGAGTCAGATGCCTCTGTGCTCTGCTGTGGAAAGGAATCGATAGCACAGCTCTGGCAGCATGCAGAGGGGAAATAGAATAATCAATGGGCCCATAAAGAGCTCCAAACGGCCAATCCGCACCTCTCCTCTAGGCCTGTTCTCCATTTGTTCCTTCTGCTGGTAATCATAGTGCCAGTCAGACACACCACCACGACTGCAGAAAACCCACTCTGATCCTTTACTCCCACACCTGAACCAGCCTCTCTCGCTCAGCGTTTTTGCAGCAGCAATTGATTTGCGCTGAGAGAAAAGGAGGGCTGATGGCTCGATATCAAGGCCAAGCCTTTATGATGCGATTGTTTGGCTTCACCATAGTGTTGGGAGTTTTAAACGGTGCACTTTGTTAAAAGCTATTGCAAAACTGTATATGGGTGTTTCTTCAACCCCAGGCACTTGTTTCCAGAATTTGAATTTTATCCCCAAAAAAAAAAATGGGAAAAAAATGTTGTGTGTGTATACATGTTATCTCTTAATCACAAAAATCATAATACTAATTTTGTTTGTGAACATGTTAAAAACTTAGATATTTAAATGATTTGTTTATTTGACTCTGTTTATATTATCAATTTTGTTAAAATTAGTTATAGCAATTTCTAACAATTATGACTGTCCTCAGTTGTTGTGGAATCAATTCCATTTTAGCAAGCAATTTTGCTAGGAGTTAGTGCACTTTGTTTCCAAGGACAAAATGGTGTCGGTAAAGAGGATGTGTGAGATAAAAAACAATAAAAACATGATCTGTGAAAAAAATAGAAAAGAAAAATCGAGGTTGAAAAAATATATTTAATCTATTTAAGAGATACATAAAATGTATCTAAATGGTAAAAATTACCATTACTTTTTTTTTCTAGCTGTGCACTTTCGTTCCTCCTTAAAAGCCCAAACTTAATTTGCAAATCAGTAAAAACGTGTGTCTTTCGTAAAGTAGGATGTGCTTGATATTAAATGTAGGGCAGGCAATGTTTTTCTTAAACACTTTTTGTTATACTGGTTGAAACTCTCTTCACATCCTGATAGCAATCAATAATAGAAGTGGTCTAAATATAATTTTTTTTTACAAATGTCTTCTGTGGATGTCTCAGGACCAAAAAAAATGTCATCCAATCATTGCATTTGGTCCGATTGCAATAATAGTATGTCCAACCTGCCTGATATAGGCATCTTACAAGTTTTCCAGCATCCCTCCGGCACCCCAACTCCCCACTCTCGGCTGGTTTCTATCCCAACCAGGAATATTGGGGTTTCTATCCCAGCCAGGAATATAACAAATTTCGAGCTCGAAGTCCTCCTTTTGTACAGCACGCCTAATATGTATACTCTTCCACCACAAAAATATGATCAGAAACAGTACATAAATTGAGATTTGGTGAAAATGACACTGTGAAGGTCATCTCTGTCAAAATAACAAAGTTTTTCTGTGATGTTCCCATAGTTGTAGAAAACTCGATATATAGCATGTGTTTTAAGCTTTGTTTGCCGTCAAAGTTTGTCAAAAGCTGTCAAAGTACAGGCCTCAAGGCAAAATGATAAGCCTTGTGCCCCAAAGGCACCTCAGACTTGTGGCTGACTCAACCTTTTCTCCATGTTCAATTTCTTGTGTGTGTGTGTGCGCGTGGTGTGTTTGTGTCTATGTCCTGTCTCTGAGTGCAGTTTATCCTGACACATTATATTTTCTGTTCCTCATTCTGACACAGAAAGAGAGAGAGAAGAAAAAGGAGGAGAAGAAGAGGGAAAAGGACACCGATAAAGGGAACAAGCCAGCAGTTTTTGAGAAGGTAATCAACCTCATTACTTACCAAATAGACTGGAGCCATTACCTTTTTAATGACAGCTGTGTTTTTTAATAATTTTAAAGGGTTAGTTCACCCAAAAATTCTGTCAGTAATTACTCGCCCTCATGTTGTTGCAACCCCATAAGACTTTCGTTCATCTTCGGAACACAAATTAAGATATTTTTGATTAAATCTGAGAGCTGTCTGAGGCCCACATAGAAGAAAACGAATACTTGAATAAAGTCGTTATTTTTGTTTTGTTTTTTGCGCACAAAAAGTATTCTCGTCGCTTGATAAACTTCAGATTGAGCCACTGTAGTCACTTGGACTATTTTAACAATGTTAATAACAATGTTAACCCTTTAAGTCGTTCTGTTTGAAAAGCATGTACCTGATACTCCTGGGCTTCTTAAATATGATCCCAGTGGGAAAAGCCTTTACAAATATGAATGATTTGATTGTCTGGTTTTCTTGATTTCCAATGCTTGCATTTTGGCAAAACTGAGCTTTTGAGAATCACACACGAGTAGGACAGTGTACAGTAGGCTTGGGCGGTAATACGGTAATATCGTATACCGCGGGATCTAAAAATAGCAACGGTATCAGTTTCAATATCGTCATACCGTCATAAAAAAAATCCAATGCACTTATATAGGAGACAAGGATTAAATATTAAATATAATTTATTTAATGGCTAAAAATGCTTATGTGTGGTTGTCATCACGTGACAGTGTGGAGGAGAAAGAGTGGGGGAGAGAGGGGGAAAGATGGCAAGTTGCGCACCGAGTGACCTGGTCTCGAAGAAGAACACGACTTCTGCAGTTTGGCAGGGATGGGCATTCCAAGCAAAAATAATATTTGAAGATCGCCTGGTATTATTTGATTATTATTCGAAAATCGCACCCCTCCACCATATGCACACACACATGCATGTAGGCTACACAGCTATACAGCGGAGCGGTGTGACACTTAAATAGGCTATAAGTAAAAAAAAAAACGTATTTCTTTTCATATTTATGTTTAATAATATAATGTTGTTATTTTTTTATTTCATCTATGTTGATTATATGAAAAGGAAACTGCATGAGATGAATAAGATAGGATGATAAGATGCCCAATATCGGAAAACATTTGGAATGGGTCAGACATGATTTTTGACCACTTATTACATTTTGTTTTCAATTCAATTCAATTCAAATTTATTTGTATAGCGCTTTTCACAATACATATTGTTTCAAAGCAGCTTTACAGAAAGTGCATTTCAGAAATGTACATAGAAGAATATAGTTAGTTAATCATCATGTATTAATTTAGGGCATAACATTTCGCCGGCGTCGAGTCGTCTCATCGCAGGTGTTGGGGCATCTGAAGTCTCCGTGAGAGGCTTTCGTTTTGTAGAAAGCCTTTCTTTAAAGTGAATTTCGTTTTGTATAAATTGTATCTTAATTTTAATCAATGTTTCATCAACGAATTGCCTGGAGTAATAAATAAAAGCATATTTATTAGACAATATAAACCGGACACGGAGGCACCGGCGCGTGAACTGGAGCGCGTCTCCTAAAAAAACGAAACTCAGCGTATAAGATAGATGCCTTAAATATCTGAGAAGTGTATATATATAGTAAGCTTGAAATGTCTACTTTTAAACAAAACAATTAAAAACTAAAAGAAATGGGCTGCTCTCTGTGTAGGCTAATTCATATGAAGTGTGCATTTCTCTCTATGCGCGTTCACTACTGCGAAGATGAGAGTCTGCATCGTAAACTTTATCTGTGCAGCCACTGACATAGAAAGTTTTTCATTAATAAACAATTCAAATGTTTCATGCATTATAATTACTTTTGCCGGTTCTTTGTGGCAAGCTTTATGCGTGCTTTGAGATGCAGAATAGGCAATATATTACGAAAACGCTCATTATGGTTTAGCATTCTCTCCTATATATATTTAAGTAATTTAATCAATATAAATATGTGATTAGACTAATGGCTTAAATCAACTACTACTAGTCAACTAGAAAAAAAAACCTTTAGTCGTGCACGGGCAGCCCTACTTCACATGTTTTCTAACCAGCATGTCACTGCGGGCGTTCTGAGCGCGCGACGCTGAGTGGACTGAGCACGCGGCGCGGGATCTTCAGAAATGCGCTCTCTGCTCTGGAGGAAATATTACCACTCCGCTCGCATGCTCTGGTGTGAGACAATGTGCATCTTCTCCTGTTGTCTGAGAGTTGATTGACAGCTTTTAGATGCATTATTGGCATCGCCACCCTCTGGTTGAACGTGTCACCACCGCATCAGAACGGAAAACATGGGGATTTTTTTTAGACAATAATCCCACAACCTATTCCATATTCTATAATAAAATCAAATATTCGAAAATTGTGACTCATCCCTGCTCAAACCAACAGTTTGGTGATGCCTTCTGAGCCTTATGTCATAATTTTGAATTATCACGCGGTAATACCGTATACCGCGGTAAAATAGGGAGGAGGTTTGACGGTATCAAAATTTGGATACCGCCCAAGCCTAGTGTACAGTGACCATAAGGAAGATCACAGTCCCATCTCTTGTGAGATCAAACACTCTGGGCACTTGAGTTTAATTTGTCTTGCATATTCATACGTCTCTTTGCAGGAAATTAGTTCACTGGAATCTCTGGGTTCATTTTAGTTAAAAACCTCATGTGGGGGATTGTGGATTTAAGGTGGTGTGAATGTGAAATAGCTGAGAAACTATAGAGCGAATAAAGTTATGTAGACAGTGGCGTTTCTGGTGTTGAAATCACATTGACAAATTAATATTATTTATTCAAATTTAAAATTTAGTTTGCATGTTCTCTTTGTGGCTAGAATGAGTTGACAAAAGTGTGTTACATTGCTTGCTAAAATGGAAAATTGAAATCTTATTGACCCCAAACTTTTGACCAGTGTTGTGTGTGTGTGTATATATGATGCATTATTGTTCATGATGTATTCTAAATTATGATTGTCAAAAGAATAGCATAATCAAAGAAATGTATTAAATTGCCACCACATACTTTTGGCATTCAGAAATTAAGTTTGCATTTTTCAAGCTCTAGTCTTTCGCATATATATATACGATGACTTCATTGAAGATGTATTGAACGCAATTGCCCGCACGGAAACGACCACACTGCTGTTCATTTTACAGACAAACCCCCGAGTGTCTGATCTCTAGTGCTTTGAGCGGTATCGAGCGGGTTACTTCTGCGCCAGTGGACACGTAGAGTAGCAGATATTGCAGGCTTGAGCAAACAAGCAAACACTTCATAGATGTGCTGAAATAGCCACAGCAGCAGTAATTTTATTTTTTCGTCTAGTCGACAGTGCACATTCACAACTCTGCAGCACAAGAAAAAAAAACATGAACAGGCATCTTACATTTGTACTTGTGTAATGATCCTCTCACTCCAGGCACCTTGCTTTCCTTCGGGCTACACTTCATAACCACTCGCAGTCACACACACCTTTCCCCTCCCCTGAAGCACAGTTTGGGGTCATCTGGGATTGTAACGCAGAAAACAAACGCAGGGAAAAAAGGGATATGAAATTGGCAGTCGAGTGTGAGAGAAAAAAGTGTGTGTGAGGCTTTTGGGAATGTGTATTATTGTCGTCTAGCAGTCAGAGAGCACAATGGCGGTATTTGATTGACAGGCGGTAGTGCGAGGCTGGTTGGCCCTGAGTGAGAGTGGAGAAAGTCACGGAGAGGGCAGTGTTGTGCTTTTTCTTCAGTAGTGTCTCTTTCACTCTTCCTCCCTCTCTCTGTATGGCTCCTTATCCCTTATGCTCTGTTGTCTTGCTCAAGTGGCTCTTCACTAGGAGTATGCAAAACTAGATGATAGGTTGTCTGAATGGCTAGTTAACTGTTGTCTTAGGGTGCTTTTTACCTGGAAACGATTGCTGCGGTCTGGTTCATCTTAAAGCTGCAGTCGGCAAGTCTGGCAGATTGAGTGGATTTAGGCAAAATTTTGAATGTTTACAACTCTCATGGCCCTTCCCCACTATCAACGAATACCCTCCCACCGAGTTCATGCTCATCAGTGCGTGTGCACCAGATTTTCAGTGAACGCGCCCGTCTCATCAGCATCCATCAACACCATGGATTATTTGGAGGTATGCTGTCCTGGCTAATCTACCGATAGATTGCAATTGGTAACGTCATTTATTCCTCTAAATGAGCTTACTTGATTTTCCGGCATCACTCTTCGTTACTGCCGCGAACTTCAGGCGTGTGCATGTGATTGTAACGTGCGCGAGGGGTGGCGTGTGCCCGATCTGTGATTGACAGTCAGATCTCACACCCCCCTGCGCTGATTGGACCCGATGATCCGGGAGCTGTGGATTTTTGCAAAACAAATAACACGCTCCAGGTGGAGTTAGAAGCTCTGTTTTTTTCTAAAACCACTTTATTTATGTTGTTCTGTCGGATTATAGTGTCGATTTCACTGAATATGATCAAAAAAATGTTGCCGACGGCAGCTTTAAATCTGACAACGCATATAATATGGTTTGTTGAAAATAGCAACGCGTAAAACCGACAGACAGAGTTCGGCTAATGTATGTTTCTGTCGATGAATAGTTGGATACGCATTCTGGCTTCCCCTAAACTGTGTTCAATGCGAGTGCCGTATGTTCTAATTTGACCAGTCATTTCCTCGTCATCACCCAGGTGTTGAGAGCGCTAGCGCAGGTGAGACCTGAACAGCACATGTTGCTATCGTGTTTAAACAAAACTTGTATTGAAGCCTTGCCAATTTAAACATTCAAACTCAAGTTGCAAAGGAGAACTCAACTTGCGTGCTGTGAGAAGATTTGTGTGTGCACTCATCCGAAGCATGCACAGGGAAAGCCTTGTGTCAGACAGCGTGCAAATGTTGATTTCTTTTTCAAGTCTTGCGCTTGAATGGACAAATTCACACACAAATTGTCAACATGCCAGTCTTGGCAATTATCCTAGCAAACATAGTAGGTTATGTCTTAAGTTAATGTAAACAGTCGAGAAAGACAACGCATGTGATGTGTACAGTATCAGTGTACTGGATCCATGCATTGC